CAGACGAAACGACTGCCCCCCCCAGCCATCTCGCTGCGCTCCAAATCCATGACCTCTGAGCTGGAGGAGATGGGTAAGGGGGAAGGGCGGGGGGTGGGGTTGGGGGAATTGGGAGGTATGTGGGGAAGGCTCTGTGCTGGAAGTGGGGGAGGGGGCTGATAGTCCCTGGAGGGGTCTGTGATGAGATGGGGGAGGGTCCCCAGAGGGGATGGGGAAAGGGTCTGTGCTGGGACGGGGGAGGGGTCTGTGGTGGGATGGGGGAGGTCCCCAGAGGGGAAGGGGGGGGGGTGTGGGGTGGGACGGGGGGGGGGGGGGGGGGGGGGGCTCTGGGGCAGGGCTCTCACACTCTCTGTCTCTCCCTCCTCCTGGCCCTCTGGGACCTGGGACCCCCTTGGCACCTGGCAGTGGAGAAAGGTATGTCCCGTCCCCCCCGGGCAGTGCCCCCCATCTCTGCCCAGGGGTACGCCTGTCTGAGTCCCTGGTGCGGAGGGGGGGCAGCAGGGGGGGGGCTGAGGGGTGGCGGTGGGGAGGCCGGTGGGGGGGGGACGCCCGGCCCGGGGGGGGGACAGGGGGGGGGGGCCCAGTTCTTTCCCAGGCTCTGTGCACCGGCACCTTGGGGGGCAGAGGGGTCTGCCCCAGAGCTGTGGGGGACTGGGGCCCCCCCGATTTCTAATGCTGTCCCCTCTCGGTGTCTCCCCCAGTCTCCCCCTGGAAGAAGAGGAGTGGTGAGTGTGAGCTGGGGCCGGGCACAGCCCCCCCCCCAGCCCCCCATGAGCTTCCTCCACTGCTTCCCCTCGCCAGCCTTTGTGCCCCCCCGGGCTCCTAGCCCCCCCGGGCCATTCCCCCGCACACCTGCCTGTGCCTGCACCCCCCCAGCCGTCCTGCACCCCCGCCTCCCCCTCCCCCAATCTCCACGCACCAGCCCCCCCAGCTCACGCTCCCCGCTCCGCTGCTCCTCCCCCATGCCAGCTCTCCCCCCCCCGGTCTCACTGTCACCCCCCACCCCGCTCCTCAGAGTGACCCCCCCACACCCCCGCCTTGCGTCACAGTCTCCCTCCTTCTCCTGTCCCTGCAGATTACGAGCCGGCGCTGGCCACGGAGAAGAAGAGGACGGTCTATCAGATGGCGCTGAGTAAGGGAGGGGAGTGGGGTCCGGTGGGTCAGAGCGTGGGGTGGTGGTGGGGGCTGGGTGCCAGGACTCCTGGGTTCTCTCCCCAGCTCTGGGAGGGTAGTGAGGGCTAGTGGTTAGAGTGGGGAGGGTTGGGAGCCAGGACTCCTGGGTTCCCTCCCTGGCTCTGGGAGGGGAGTGGGGGCTAGTGGTTAGAGCGGGGGGGGGTTGGGAGCCAGGACTCCTGGGTTCTATGCCACCTCAGCGGTGCCAGGAGTGGGCCAGACAATCCATAGGGTCTCTTGTCTCCAGTCCAAGCTGCCTGCAGTGTGTGTTTAGAGACCCCCCCAGGTCCCGGATCTGGGCCTGGGGTGGGGGCAGGGCTAGGCTCCTCCCTGCCCCCCGCCTCCCCTGGCCAGCCCCCCTCACCCTCCGTCTCTCTGCCCCTCGCAGACAAGCTGGACGAGATCCTGGCTGCAGCTCAGCAGACGATCAGCGTGGGGGAGGGGCCCAGCTCCGGCGGGCTCCCCTCCCTGGGGAAGGCCCGGGGGCCCAAGGGCTACTTCACCTCCGAGGTAGGACGGGCACGGCCCCCCGGGCCCTACGGCTGGGCCTCGCTGAGGGGGCACACCAGGGGAGGGGGGGTAGTGGTTTGAGGGAAGGGGGGCTGGGAGCCAGGACCTCTGGGTTCTCTCCCTGGCTCTCAGAGGGGAGTGGGTCATTTCTACCCACCTCCCTACCCCTGCCCATCACCCCCCCCACCTATCCCTATCCTGGCCTCTTATCCCCCCCCGCCCCCATCACTCCTGCCCTGGGCAGTGCCCTCACTTGCTCGCTGCCTGCCGCTAACACCCCCCACCCCAATGTCTCCGCAGTCAAACTTCGAACCGCATCGGATGGGGCAGCCCAGCTACGAGCGCCCGTCGTACCTGCCCCCCGGTGCCCCCCAGGGCCTCATGCTGCGCCAGAAATCCATCGGTGAGGTGGGCCGGGCTGGGAGGGGAGCGGGGCTGGGGCAGCGGGCGTCTGTCACTGCCGGACTCCTGGGTTCCGTCTGTTATGCGGAAAGGGGAGGGAGTCTCATGGGTTAGAGCAGGGGGGCTGGGAGCCAGGACTCCTGGGTTCTCTCCCCAACTCTAGGAGGGGAGTGGGGTCTAGTGGTTAGAGCAGGAGGGGCTGGGGGCCAGGACTCC